TTTTTGACTTCTCAAAGCATTAGAAGATTTTTTTTCAGATGCATGAATGATGAACTATAGGGACTTTGGTCCCTCCAAACTTTGGTATCAGTTTAAGACCTATTGCACTTTCTTTATAATAAATTCAAGTTTAATGGAATTCTTTTGAATTTTATTCGTTGTTACCTCATGTTTTCATTGTCATATATCATCATTAATATAATTCTCTTTAAGCTTCCAAAATAGTCTGGTTATATCTGTTTTCATTTGCTGCACTACATTATGCACACAAACAAGGAAATGCTGAGAGACCATTATGGGGGAAGCTCTTTTTCTGTAAAATCAGCACAAATGAGTGTCCTTATGAAGTGCCTGATGCACACAGCATGGGGAACAGACAGGAGGAATTAGAAGTCTGCATTCAATTGCACAACTGCAGCCTCAGGATCACAGAACTGGGCAGGATAGCTCACACAACTCATCTGTACCAGAAAGTCCAGGGAATTCCAGGCTGCTACTCTCAGGAGTGTGATGAAGCAATGGGCACAAACTGAGATACAGGAAATTTCACTTAACATAAAGAAAGCACCCTTCTAGTATAAAAGGTGGTGAGGCACTGATGAGCTTCCTAGAGAGGATATGAGAAGTTCATCTTTGGTGACATTCCCATCAGGAGATGGACCTATGCAACTTGCTCTGGTGACCAGTTCTGAGCAGGGAGCTAAACTAGACAATCCCCAAAAGTGCATTCCTACCTCAGCTGGACTGAGGGAGTTTGTGATTCTGTGTGCCATGGAAAAGGCAAATTTACAAGCAGGAGTAAATAGCACAGATGAACACCTGAGAATTGTTTTTTTTCTCTAGTTGAAGGAAAAAAAAATAGAGAAAGCAAATAAGTTTCCCTGAGTGCTTCACAAAAAGCTTTAATCCTTCTCCATTTCCTAACTTGACATTCATTCATTCCATTCATTCGGTAAGTGCTGGAAAATGGGGCTTAAAACAGAAGTACATGTTGAGGGATATAGCACGAGCACCGCTGCAATAATTGTACCTTACCATAAAAAGTGCCTTTATTTTCTGCATTTATTTTTTGTACCTTTGTTCTTATTTACTCATGTCTAGTAGGGCTCCCCTGATGGCTTGAAGCCTTTGTAGCATATTGAGAAGGACATAAAATACCAAGTAACGCAGTCTTTGGGCTAATACATTTTCAAAAATGTTTCATGCCTCATTTCTCACGTAAATTCTTAGGTTGCATTCAGCCTTCAACGTGTCATTCATATTCATGAAGGACAAAGGCCAGTGTTCATCACGTTCCTGCTGAGCTGTAGGCACTGCCAGGCTTGCCCCTTAGGGGCTGCAGCAGTGCCCCAAGAAAGGTCTATTCCCCTGGTGTTCCTCTCCTGAGGACACTGTGACCAACAAATGGCTTATGGGCAGATGAGCAAAGTGTAAATAGTCTTGTCTTAGTTCTGAGGATCATCCCATTTTCTCCACATTGCTAATCCAGTTCAAACTCACACCCTTGGTGCTCAATATTCCAGGAAAAATGAGGTGAATTAAGCAAGACCCTTTTCAGAACTGCATCAGTGATGCTCCTCAGCTGCTGAGGGGGTTTGCTCCTGCGCTATGTCTTCCCTGCCTTTCCTGTTCATTGAGCAAGGAAAGCCAAGATCCAGGATGAGATCTAAGGATCCCACACTAATGCATGGCTCTGCCCTGGTATTGCTTTCTCTGTGATGTCTCCAAGACATTACTGAGTCCCAGATAACTGAGGAAATCAAGACAGCTCAATACCAAAACAATTTCAATGGGTGGCAGTTGGTGTATGTCAATCTTTTACTTTCATATCCACACAGTGCCAGGCTGAAAAACTGCTGAGCTCTTGTCTAGATTTAATTACATTATGGTAATTATGCTTATTCATCTCATGTAAGTTGTAATTTTTTTAAAATATTACTTTTCTTACTATCTAGGTGATAAACTATGAGCAATGGATCCCACCACGAGTTCATAATCCAGGTGTGCCTGGTAACAGTGAAATGGTGAGCTGCCATGAAAATTGTTTCTTTTTTTTCACCAGCAGCTGGGAATAGCAGGTTGATTTTTCCTGTGCTATATGTTCCTTCTCCAAACGCTGAAAGATCTTTATCCATATCCGTTATTAATAATGATATCTCTTTGTTTTCTGTAGAATACTTTATTATTGTTCTGCTATTAATAATTGTATTTCTTTATCATTTATAAAATATTGTATTATTGCTGTGATTTCCAGGACAGAATCTGCCTATTATCCTAGGCTGCTTAGTCTGCTTTGCACTCATTTTAAGCTAGTTGGAGTACCAGACCAACACCATGGGAATGTTAAAAGGTCAGAGATATTTGTGTAGGAGCACATGAAAATCTGCACAGTGCTTCTCTATAAACTGGCTGACCATGGCTTTATTGACATTTATTAACAGAAAAATCCAAATTTAGTGTGTCATACAGAACTCTTTTAAACAAAGAAAGAAGTTGTCTATCATCACATACTATTTTAATATTAATTATGTGCAGCCATGTTATTACTGAAGCTTCTCAAATATTTTTAAGGTGCCATAACAATTACCACTGTGGACACAGTAAGCACACACTAGTATTTGTCTTCACACTATTACACTGTACTCTGAATTTAAGTGCATTGGTAGTCATGATTAAATCATTGCATTTCTTTGGGAAAGCAAAGCAGTTGAAGAAAAATCACAGAGATTAGACTGTGCCAGGACTAAATTCTTTATGCTGAGAGGTGACATGCTGTGCAAGTAGTTTTATTGAAATTAATGCAGTTACACCCAGGAAAGAGAGTGCTCAACAGGACTGAGATTGCAGGAATCTGACCAGCAGTGTTTTACACTTAGCTTCCAAATTGCTGTATTGCTGTCACCAGGTTAATCCTCATAACATCTCACTGTGCAAATATTTCTAAGGTACTTAAAATACCTTTGTATTAACTGGAAACAGTTTATCAGACACAACTTAGGTCTTTCTTCTGTAATGTATTTTAGAATGAATTTTTAAAACGTGTATTTTTTTGTGCTTGAGTATTCCTGCACACTTCATGCAAATTATTTGCAACTAAAAGGCAGCCTGAGGTTTATTTTTTTATGCAATTAATTTTGATTTGTGAGGTGACATGACTTTTTCATCACTAAAATCCATTAAGCAGGGAAATCAATAATATTCTTGGTTCTTGTTCATGCGGGAATTCTTTCCTTATAGATAGCTTTGCTTATAGATTGGGGCAAAGCACAGTTCACCTGATTCTCTGGATTCTACACCAAAGAATGTTTGAATAGGCAGATAAAAATCCACATTTGAATGCTTAGGTAAGCCAAAATAAAATGCTGTAAATTTAAAAGCTGTCTCACCACCATCTGATACTGCATGGGATTTTTTCTCTGCGAAAGAGAGTTATTGCATTTATTATTTAAGCACTTATGACTTTTCCTTAACAATAGACTCTATGAAATGAGTGCTTTTAAGGAAAAGAGGATTAGAGTTTGCCATTAATGAAATTATCTGAATAGATTATCTTCCATTTATCTTGATGTCTCCATGATGGAAATCCCAGATCATAAATCAAAGTCATCATGTTGCTTTTGTGTCGTTACTTATAAGTGAACAAATTATTATTGCTACAAGAGATCTAACATGAGAGCAATATTAGCATTTTAAACCTCTGTGATTTATTTTGCAAAGACATCTCACAATGAGAGACTGAAAAACTGCACCTCAGTTTTCTTGATAGCTAAGGTAAAAATGCACTCCTGCTATCTTGAATTTGGAAGAGGAAAGAAATCTACACACAGGTGAAGGACAGAAAAACACAGCAGAGCAGTTGGTGCTGATGTCCACACTGCGTCCTATGGGGGGTCTCCCTGTGCTCACATCCTCTCTGTTGGACACCAACCAGAAGCTGGAGGTCATCAGCTGAATTTCTGGAAAGCATCTTTTGTTTTCATTTCATCTGTAACAAGCTCAGTTTGTGGCACTTTGAGGTTGAAGTGCAGCTTTCAGGGATAGCTGCAAAATTCACTGCGAAACCAAGACACTAATGAAGCCATGACTTACAAGAGACACTGGAGACATGAAAAGGTGCCAGCTCTCTGGCTTCCTGCTCTGCTCCTGGGGTTGATTCCCAGTTTCCAGAACACTGCAGATTTCATGAAATAGAGCTTGCTGCTGAGAAGGAGAGAGTTAAAACCCAAGTGCTATCCACTGTGGGAACTTCTGCATTACTGTGATTAAAGAAGGAGGACACCTAGGGTCCTATCTTTAAGGAAAGAACTCAGTATAGGCTCCATCAGCATCAGTATGATTTATATCACTCATGAAGGTAGCCCTGAAAGGTTTATCTAGACACATAACAACAACAACAACATTAATAATATAATAACATCACCACCACCACCACTAATAATAATAATAACAGTAACAACAACAACAAAAACAACAACAACAACAATAATAATAATAATAATAATAACAACAATAATAATAATAATATTTTGTCAGAACAGTGCCTGAAAGAATAAAGCATTTTCAGATTTTTTGGGGTGTGGGTATATGTTTATTTCACTAGGTCCCGCTTGTATACAGTAATGCTTAGGTACTCAAGAAAAGTAATATGCAAACAGCAATATGAACACTGGCTTGATGTTTCTTGTGAGTTGACTTTTCCCCTTTTTTTACCTGTTAGTCCAAAGCAAGGAAAAGCCTAACTTTCAAAGCATTGTATCAATGATCAGGTCTTTGAATCCAACACTTTTTCATTCTCAAGATAATCACTATGTTGCCCTTAGATTTTATTTTTAGGGTTTGAATGATTTTAATGTCTTTCTTGTTTTGTTTTGAGTTTTTTGGGGTTTTTTTTTGGCAGGGTACAGAACCAGACAATAAAGCTGAGTCCAGGGGAACATTAAAAAGATTGCAGAAATTGGTCCGAACAAAGAAAACAAGTACACAAAGCTTGGAAGATGTCAAGCACGTTCTGGTTCCCCTCAGTAAGTACAGCATCACATCAGCATTCTTTCCAACATTTGGCAAATGACACAGGATTGAACATAATTGTAAACAATCCTGTCCTGGTCTGTCATTCACCACCCACGATTTTCAACCCCCAGCTGAGATGTTACTGTGATACCACTCCAGTGCTGACTTCCTCATAGTGTGAAAACCTGTTTCCTGTCACCCTAGCTGCAGTTTTGTAACAGTATATCTCGCAAGCAGGGATTCTAGATAAATAAAATTGTATAACAGCAGGGCCCCCGTGCTGGGGACACTTTGGGTTTTCTAGTTTTGTATCACATTCTGGGTCAGAAAGGCAAAATTCACAAACAGGAAGATAATTTCCAGTGCTATTCCATGGGTCAGTAGCATCCGTGAGAGCAGGAAGGTCTGAGGTATGATAAGCAAGTTGGTCTCTCATTATACCTGAGTGCCCAGGGATGTAGGACAAAGGAATTCTGAACTGATTCTGGCCTCAGCTGGTTTTCTGGAGTCTCCTATAGATCTCTGATCTGACCATGCAACATTTCTTCCTCTGAACGTGTTTTGCCAACATTGTTTTAACAGCGCATGCATTGGTTGTACAATACACTTGTTTGTATGATAATTTATAATCTCGTATTAGCAAAAATGAGTTTAAACTGTCTGTTGAACTACTGCTCCAGACAAATCACTGCTTGGGTTGAAACACATGAGGAAATAGGGATTTTAGCAACTACTTTGTAACTGCAACATACATACAAGGGATGGGAAAGCAATTCTCCAGAAACTTCCTGAACTTTTCCAGCTGAACTCATGCTGTCTGAAACTATCAGCAACATGACATTCAGTCTCCAAATTTTCATGGGCAGAACTAATAAAATTTTCCACACCTCTGAGGGAACAAGAAGAATATACCAAATGGAGGATAAATCTCTTCAGATTTATTTGGCTCCAATGCCTGACCCAGTAAAAAATCCTTTCCATCTCCCTAATTATCATAATTATTTGGTTTTGGTTTTGTTGGATTTTTTTTTGTTTGTTGTTTTTGGTTCTTTGCTTGTTTGTTTGTTTGGGGTTTTTTTGTGTTTGTGTGTGCATGTGTGGGTTTTGTTTATTTTTGGTTTTTTTTTGGTTTGGTTTTTTTTATGGGAGTTTTTTGTTGTTAATTTTTTAAATGGCTTTTTCATTATATAGAGTGAAAGACAGCTATTAAATTAAAAAAAAACGTGTGCTACTTTATGAATTGCAACATACTATAACAAGTGTTTGCATTTTAAAGATACCTTAGAAGATGCTTATCTCTCTGAAGAGGATGAAGAAGCACTAACTTCTTGCATGAAGCTGACAAAGCCTCAGGAAAAGAAGACATGGAAAGATAACACAAGAAGAAAAGAAGAGACTGAGACCAGGACAGATTTTATTTCTGCATCTCTGGGCCGCTCATACACTTCCAGACTTAATAACTTAGGAACTATTTCAATTCATTCTGAAACAGAATTTCACTTGTGGAGTGACTGGAAGCCGTTTCCTGACAACCAGCTCTGTCCTTGTGACTTTTTAATTTCAAAAATAGAAGAATGGGAAAACTGTTCTTGCTCTTCTCATCAGCCACATCTTATGTATTCCCTAACTGATATGGATCTACAGTACTCCTGGGTAAGTGGAAGTGGTTTCTTTTGTGCTGATATGCATAAAAAATGGAAACTTTTTGCTCTGATTCAGCATTAAAGAGATACTGTCATCTTCTGTGTGGTTATGAAATGCTATAAACCAAATTTTGATTTCAGGTAAATGGATGTGAATCCATTGTTCAGGCTAACACCAGGGCTTCGTATAGCCCTAGGTAGTTCATTTTTAACCATGCAGACATCAGCAGCTTCGAGATGGAAGGCTCTAGGCTATTCTGTTTCTCATCAGCACACTCATGTTTTTTGGGTTTTTAGTCTGTACTACACACATCTTTTCAGGCTCAAAAAACTTTCTGGAAGTCTGGACTAAGTCAGTCAGAGCCAATGGACTTGGAGCAGGCTCCTAGAGGTCACTGCAATACTAGTAAAGGACACTAGAATTATTTGGGCAAATGTCAGAGGTTGCAGAGGTATCTGTGCTTCTGTCTTCTTGGTCAGCTTAGCTGGGGGAGCCTATTTTTGCAATTACCTATGTGGCAGCAAGAAGATTCTAGGGACAGAAACAACGAAGCAGAGTTTGATCTTGTTCTGGAATTATCTTCCTGGATCTCTGGAGGAGGATTTTGTGTGTTAATTGCAGGCTTTTTTAAAAATGGATATTCAAAACTAGAAGAAAAAAACCAAGAGAAATTCTTTTTGGTAAGTTATACAAAATGTAGACACTGCAACACGGCACATCAGGTCTTCTGGCACTCCACACAATGGTGAACACATGGAGGGTGACTGGTAGAGCGAAGTACATCAGGGAAGCAATAAAAAGTAGCCACTTTTCCCTTTCTGCCTGCTCCCTCTCCAGTGCTCCAGGGACAGAGCTGTCTCTCACTGTGGAATAAGACCAACTCCCAGGAAAGTACAACTAAACCACAGGAGGTGAGACACCTGCTGAAACCTGAGCCAGCTGAGTGCTCAAATGTGGACCTGAGCAGCCACAGCCTTAGATCAGTGTCCTGCTGAGAGCAGCATGATCTCAGAGTTCCCATATAGCATTAGAAGGTAATAGTTGGGGGTCTGTTCAGCAGCCATATTTCTGAATTCGTGGAGGAGGTAATTCAGTTCCTTTTCAATGACACAGTATCTGACATACCAGGCAGGACCTGAAATGGGGGATTAATCTGGCTGTAGATTTTCCTAGTGTTTGACATAGAAAACAGTCTGAAACTTTGACTGATGGATAATTAGAAAAAAGAAAGAAAGGAAACTACCCCTAAAAAAAGCTGACGGAGGTACAGCATTGAAACCCTGGACAGGCTCAGCCCTGCACACTCCCAGGAAGAGCAGCTGCAGACAGATCTACAGGACAGAGAGTTGGCAGAAATGGGCTGGGAGCTGTGAACAAAGGCTGTGGTCTGTCAGGGGAGTCCCCCTGCATGCCAGGAAATAGAAGTCTCTGCAGGAAGTGAATTGTGGCAGGGATGCTGGCCTCCATCTTATGCCTGGCTCCTTTATGCAAGCAGCTGTCAGCATCCCAAGCAAAAGCTGAAGTCCCAGGTAAAAACAGAAATAGAGGTGTTGATCAGATTTATGAGAATATAAGTATTAATTCAAATAATTTTATTTAATTTTGTTACAAACAGGCTGTTAATGTTCCCTTCCCTGATGAGATTTGTCCTACCCATGTTACTGTTTAGTGCCATCGAGGGGTTTAGTGCTTTTTTTTCCTGAATGGTTTATTTTGCCATCTGCCTTCCTGATGGGCTCTCTGACTTTAATGTATCTCTGTGGGCTTAGTGTCTTTAGATTTAGATTACAGCCAATGGCAAGACATCTCATTCTTTGCATCTGCATTCTACCAACTGGCTCAATTGAAGATTACAAAGGCTGGGTTTTCAGGTTCCCTATTTAGGGATCAAAAAGCGGGCACTGGTGGTTTTGCTATGAGAGGATCAGACAGAGGGGGTGGTGCAGATGTTCTTTCTCATGTTGACTTACTTATTAGAGTAAAACAAATATATTCCAGGATACTCTTTCCTATTCTGTGAGAAAGAAGGTATGGTTTCATTTTTTTCACTTGGTAACTCCTCCATGGTCTCTGCTGCTGCAAGTTGTGGAAGAGATAGCTGGAGATGAACTATCAAAATGCTTGTTGGTATGTCCCAAATTGAGACTAAACCAGTAGATGCAAGACAAAAATCCAAGACTATTCCAGCAGCAAACTGCTGCTGATCTGGCTTGGGGGACAGACAAATATCTAGATCAGACAAATATTATCCAGACATAGCTCAGTAATGCATGCAAAGCTGATCAGGCCTAGCCTTTATTAAAGCTTGAATGGCAGGTAGTGAAATAAGCAGTGCCTCCTGTAATCACAAGGAAAGATATGGATCTCTCCATGATGGATTGCTGTTTAGAGAGACAAAATACGAGTAATCCTAATTCCCTTCCTCCAGTTTCTTCCCTTGACCTTTCTTCCCTTGACTCCTTCTCCCTTTCTTCTGCCTCATCACTTTACACAGCCTCCCTTATGGTGCTTCATATTGCCAGTTTTTGTCACCTAAACCAGTAAAAGACTGACACAGGTCATCTAGGCAAGTACTGTGAGAACAGACTCCAAAAAACCATATCCATCTTCAGCTCCAACAGATTTCTCCAACTCTTCCTTCAGCCCCTTGCAGTCAAGCCCTCAGTAAACACCTGCATTAGCTGGACAGCCTCTGGCACTGAGATATTGCAGACCATCCACATTTCAGCCATGCTGCCATGGTGCCACCATTAGATTCTTTGTGCAGAGTTAACTTTACCACAGATAAAGTTTTTTATATTATATATATATATATATATATATATATATATATATATATATATATATATTTTTTTTAAAATATAATTAGTGGTTGGCCACAATTTTGCTAGGGGCACCATAAAGCATTGGTTTTTTATGGTGTGTCAAACTTACCCTGTGGAATTATTGTTACTGGTATTCTTTCCAGAGACATGTAATTTATAAATATTTCTTCCTTAGAAAGTGGAAGAGTATATTTAAAAAAATACAGAATACCTGGGGGAAAAAATAAAGAAAAAACATTATTGCATGCTTGGATAAAGTAACTACTATGCTGCGTATTTTTCTATTATCACAAAGTATATTGAGGATATATGGGCCGATGTTTGTGATGTTATGAATCAGCTGAAAAGCAGGCAGAGGATAGAAGATTGTCCAGACACCACTTTAACAACCACTTGACCCCAGTGGGAAAGGTTATTGGGTTTTTATACTTCTTTTTATTCCTCAGGCTTAGCCCTGCAGAAAACAGTTAAGCTGTCTGTCTCAGATTTGTTTTTTCTCTTTTTTTTTGTATTTTTACTAAATGCTGCCCTTCTGTCATTTGTATGTTAAGATACTTCCTACCCTAACAAAGTAGTATACTTAGAAGTGCCATGTCCATATGAATTACAGAAGCTCTTTCATCCTTCTGTTGCTTTTTATCAATCTGTGCTATTGCATAAGACTTTTGCAACCTCATAAGGCAGGAAAAATCTACAGTCAGAAGGTTGTAAACTACAGGAGCTTGCTAGGCTTGAATGGACCTGAAAGGCACAGTGGAGCACAGAGAGGTCACAGCTGAGGTCCTCTTCACAAAAGGGTTCCCAGACTATCCTGGAGTTTGAGACAAAAAGAAAAGCAGATGAGTCCCTTTCTCCTTTCCCTCAATACTTAAACATGTTGCATCACTGTCTGACCCATCCACTCTCCCAATATCTGTGAAATATGGAAGATGCATTTGTAGAATCACACAGGCCTCCTTTACAGGAAAAGTAGAGGAGACAACATCCTCTGTTAGAGACAAACCAGCAGAGGGTTACTGGAAGTGGGTTTCTCTTCTACACACATTTTAGCAGCATGGTTAAGTTTTACAGAAGGAGGATTTAGTCATTGATGCCATGAGAATATTTATCTGGTGCAACCTGTGTTTGGCATTCAGTGAGAATGAAGTATGAGGGACATTTCCCAAGACTAAAAAGACCTGGGATTTGATGAGGAGAAAGAAAAAAATCTAAAGGTACTGCAGAGGAAGATACATTTTCTCTCCCGTTTTCAGTCTAAGAGGAGATTAGAAAGCTTCAAAAGATTTCTATCTGATATGAATGTATTGCATTGTGGTGGAATGAACAATAAGTTTGGGGAAACTGCAAAAGACTATGCCAATTCCTGTGTTCATTCTCTCCATATTCCTCTCAGGAAAGTGTTGTGGTCTTATCACAATTATTTTTGCCCTGCTGTTACTTGCCATGGTTCTCTTCCATTTCAATGACCTTGTGGCTTTTTCCTTTCCTGGTCTGGCTGCTTCCTAATCAGACAAGCCATTTCTCAGTATCTCCCTTTGGCCCCTAGGAGAATGGCCAGTTTGGCACTTTTGATGAAGAAACACTCTAATTAACCCTGGTTTTGTACATTTCTTTACTCCAACTTTTCCTGACACATTATGCATAATAGGATTTGGTTACTGGTTGCCCCATCACAGCTTTGCCTCCTCGCTGTGGTTGCTCTTACCCTGCTCTCTGCACCTCCCTGCTGCTCCTTTTTGGTCCTCAAAAACCTGCTGCATGTTGCCTGGAGGTTTTTGCAGGTGTCAGTGATGCCAGGGACAGACCACAGCTCCCTGGAGAGGAGTGGGGAGGAAGGGCACAGACAGTCAATAATGAACAAAGAGGGCAGAGTGTTCTTCTCTAGCAAAATGTGCTCCAAAGCTGAAGTTTGTATTTGCAGTGCCCAGAGAATTGCTGTGGGAAGATTTCTGCTCCGTTTCAGCCAGCAGTTTCTGCTGCACACCAGAATGCTGTGGGCTTTAATGGACTTTCTGACTGCCCAATTTTCTTAAGCAATTTGACTGTTTTCTGCAGTTTTTCCTTTCTTCAGCTAATGTCTTTTTGTTGAGAGACACCTGAACATGCCTTAGAAGAGCTTTCACAATTGCATTTTGAATCCTCATTTGGCACAAATATAGCACTAAAAAGAATGCCTGGAAATCC